GCAACTCAATGAGGACAGGTTGAGAGAAAGTGAAAAAACAAAGAGAATCACAATTAAATGGCAATTAAAATCTGGGTTCTAGCTAAACACTTTAGCAACTGAAATGAGTTTGGATATTGTGAAGGCCCCTCCGTGTCGAAGTGGTCAACAATATGAGGACACTCTAAGCTAATCTAATATAGTAGAACCTACTTATCTCCTGTCGTATCTTTACTGTATTTTAAGCATTCAGATATATAAAATAGAATAGAATAGAATAGAATAGAATAGAATAGAATAGAATAGAATAAAGAATAAATAAGGAAGAGAAGAGAAGAGAAAGAAGAGAAGAGAAGAGAGAATAAGAATAGAATAGAGAATAAGGAATAGAATAGAATAGAATAGAATAGAATAGAATAGAATAGAATAGAATAGATAATAAGGAAGAGAAGAGAAGAGAGAATAAATAGAATAGAATAGAATAGAATAGAACATAGAATCAGAAGGTTGAAATGCCATCCCAGTCAAATGATTGTCCAGTCTATTCTTGAAAATTTCCATCACTGGAGACAACCCCAGGAGACAAGTTATTCTATTGATTAATTGCTCTCACCATCAGAAAAAAAATCACCAAAGTTGTATCTCTCTTTGACAAACTTCCACCCATTAACTCTTGTCTTACCTTCTGGTGCCCTAGAGAATAATTCCCTCTTCTTTGTGACAGCCCATCAAGTACTGGAAAATAGTTATCATGTCCCCTCTAATCCTTCTCTTCGATAAGCCAGATTCTAGAGTCTAGACCAGGGGTCTTCAAACTTGGCCCTTTTATGACTTGTGGACTTCAACTCCCAGAATTCCTCAGCCAGCATGCCTGGCTGAGGAATTTTGTGAGTTGAAGTCCACAAGCCATAAAAGGGCCAAATTTGAACACCCCTGCTCTAGACCTATCTAGTCCCTCAACTGTTCAACATATGATAAAAAATTGCACCCAGCCTGTGTTCCATAGAAGACCTATATATTGTGTGGGTCAAAGGAGGGCTGGGGAGTTATTTCCAGACCCCTCACACCCTAGACATAAACTGTTTCAACTCCTTCCTTATATGGCATTGTACACCAAGACAACTATACACAAGGACAATTTTTTTCCCCCTTGTGTCATCACTCTGCTGAACACCTAGATGACAGAGAAAAGGGAGAAGAAATAACAAAAGCCAGAGAAAAGGAACAGAAGTGAATCTCTGCCCCCTGGGCTAATTGGAAAATGTGATTTGTGACTGCAAGATAAGGGAGGGGCTTAGCAAGAAAAGTTAGATGCCAGCAAGAGGAATTCAGATTCTGGCATAAACCTCCATGATGTGCCGTCAATTTGTAACACTGGTAATAAAGGCTTTAGGATAAACATGCCTGGAAGTTCTTTGAAGTGTTTCATTAGTCGGAACTATGACAGCATGCCAGAATCTGAATTTTTGTCAAAGCAAGAATATTCAATATTAGCAGCGTTGACACTAATTCTCACAGAGATGTCTAATGTCTGTTGTGTATTTGCCCATGTGGTATGGCTGTAAGTATTATTATTTATCCTTATTATTATCTTCTTTACTCACCCCTTCTGATTGGTATTATGATTACAATTATCCTTATTCTGTTGCTTTGCACGTACAATGAGGGCTTCACACCAGACAAATTCTTTGTGTGATTAATCACCCTTAGGAATCTCCAAATAAAGTATTCAGTGATTTAGCCTCCAGACTCAGTACCATCTTTGTTGCTCTTCTCTGCAAACTTAATTGATCAAAGATATTCTCAGTTTATGTACAACATTTGAAACTGTCTGAAGGACAGTTAGATGTTCGATGAATAGTCATTGCTGGCAACTCCATGCTGACTTTGGCTGATCTTGAAAAGAATCAACCGGCTCAGGATGGAAAAGGGATTTCACAATCTGAAACTCCCAGAGGTGTCAATTGGGATGAAAAATCACCAATAAACCCATCAGAAATTATTTCCATATTTATTTATTTATTCAGTTTCTATAGCTGCCCAACTCAACCAAGCAACTCTGAGCCGCTTGCAATTCTACCATTATAAAACAATTAAAACACATTAAAATAATGAAAACATCTACACCATAAATTGCTTATTGCTTCTGAGAAACGTAAACTGAGAATAAAATTTCTGTTCCTAAGTTGTGAAGTGAGTTGTCTCAGGACACTGCAACTGTCATAAATATGAGCCAGTTGCCCAGTTTCTGAATTTTCATCACGTGACTATGGTCCTACGTGTGAGAACCAGTCATGTCACTTGTTTTCAATGCTGTTAGAACTTCAAACGGTCACTAAACGAATGATTCTAAGTCAAGGATGATCTGTCAGTGGACTTTTACATAGTGCCCAGGAGCTGAACTTGATTCAAGGGGGGTTGTGTCTTTTTGTGCAGCTAGAATAAATTTGAGGTAAGCTGGGGAGAGTGATCTGTGCTAACAGTGCTAAATTGCAGCGTGTGTCTCTGTTTGTGTGTTTACATCCCGTATTGATTAAAGCACCAGGAATAGCTTTCATTTGGTTCCAACCGGCTCCTGGCCCAGACATATGCCAAACGATTGCACTGCTTTTTTTGAGAAAGGAAATGCAATTCCCCGGGCAGGATTAACGCCAGAACACATTTTGCAGAATTAATCTGCTTTTCAAATTTGCCAGGGAAGCTTTCAATGGAAGGTTATGGCAAACTTGATTCTCTTTGCTTCTCTTTGGACATTCCTTTCTGTCTTCCTTTCGTGATTAATCAAGCGGCTGGCAAGAAAACCGAATCCTCTTCAAAATTGCACAAGGCTGTTCCCGTACTATTGCTGGCTGACGTGCACTTTTGGAACGTAGCTAGAATAGGTAGTTCTTACGACCTAAAATTGAGCCCAACATTTCTGCTACTAAGTGAAACATTGGTTAAGGGAGTTTTGCCCCATTTTATGACCTTCCTTGCCACAGTTGTTAAGTGGATTACTGCACTTGTTAAATTACTAACAGGGTTGTTAAGTTAAGTTAAGTTAAGTTAAGTTAAGTTAAGTTAAGTTGAGTTGACTTGAGTTGACTTGAGTTGACTTGAGTTGACTTGAGTCAATTCATGTCACATCACATCAAGTCGTCACATCACATCAAGTCATGTCACATCACGTCAAGTCAAGTCATCATGTCACGTTAAGTTAAGCTAAGCTAAGCTACGTTACTTTATGTTACGTTATGTTAAGTTATGTCACGTCAAGTCAAGTCACATTACGTTACATTACGTTAAGTTACGTTAAGTTATTTAAGTTATGTTACGTTACATTACGTTAAGTTACGTTAAGTTATTTAAGTTATGTTACGTTACATTACGTTAAGTTACGTTAAGTTATGTTAAGTTACGTTACATTAAGTTAAGTTACGTTAAGTTACATCACATCAAGTCAAGTCACATTATGTTACCTTAAGTTACGTTACGTTACATTACATTACGTTATGTTATGTTACGTTATGTGAATCTGCCTTCCCCCATTGACTTTGCTTGTCAGAAGGTCACAAAAGGAGATCACGTGACCCTAGGCCACGGCAACTGTCATAAATATGAGCCAGCTGCCAAGTGTCTGATGATCATGGGGATGTGGCAGCAGTCATTAAGAGTAAAAAACGGTCATAAGCCACTTTTTTCAATGCTGTTGTAACTTTAAACAGACACTAAACGAACGGTTATAGGTCAAGGACTCACAATATTTGTCGTGAGAAAGAGCGCAAGAGAAGCTATGGAGTGTCATTGGGTGCCACCAAAAATGGATAGAAAACAGTGAACAGCACGGCAGGGTTGACTTTAACTTTGACCTGACAAGGTCGCAAAAGGGGATCACGTGATCCCCAGGACACTGCAACCATCATAAATATGGACCAGTTGCCAAGTATCTGAGTTTAGATCACGCGACCAGGGGGATGCTGCAATGGTTGTAAGTGTTCCTATTTTTCCAGCACCGCCATAACTTTGAATGGACACTAAATAAGATAAGATAAAATAACCTTTATTGTCATTTTTTTTTACTGTGGGCACAACAGCACACATCAAAAAATGAAATTTAGTTGCCCGCTCTCAAAGTGAAACACTTATATGACACACACCTAAAACATATTATACACAACATATGTATAGACCAGGGGTAGGCAACCTTGGCTCTTTTATGACTCGTGGACTTCAACTCCCAGAATTCCTGAGCCAGTTGAAGTCCACGAGTCATAAAAGAGCCAAGGTTGCCTACCCCTGGTATAGACCCACACCCCTACAAATACGTAAGAAATAAATATTAAATTTTGTCCATCTTGACTATATAACGGAAGGAGGAAGCTTGAGAGTTCACAAGGTTAATGCTGTATGGAATGAAACTATGGCTGAATCCGGATGTTCTGCTACGGATACCACGGAGCCCCCTCCCCCTCCCAGAAGGGAACAAGGAAAACAGGTCGTGTAGAGGATGTGTCGTGTCCCAGACGATCTTGCGGACCCTGCTCAAGCAACGCTTCTGTGCTGTGTCCTAGATGGGAGGGAGGGAGCTGCCAATGATCTTTTCGGCCGTCCTCACCACTCTCTGCACCGCCTTCCTGTCTGAAGCAGGGATGCTTCCAAACCAGACTGTGATGCCGTATGACAGGATGCTCTCCATCGTCCCCCTGTAGAAAGTGGTCAGGACAGGGGAAGAAAGATGTGCCTTTCTCATGCTGTTGTACATTGAGAACTAACTGTCATGCAAGGTGGTTGTCAGAGTGGTTTCGTGTTGTGTTCTCTTCTTAAAACACTGAACAAACGTCTCACTTAGCAACAGCAGTTTTGGGCTTGGAGAGCTGTGCACCACGAAATTTCATGTTAACGCGTGCCGATTAGTGCACGTTCAAAGGGGCGATAAAGTTATTATTCTGTTCTAACGGTTCGTGTTTACAGATCAGCAGACTGGATTCTTTATCTGTTTAAGCCCTCTTCCTTATTTTTTTCCCCCCTTACTCTGTCTCTAGGCTGGCATGATCAAAGTTGGTGTAGAGGAATTTTTCATTGAGCCCCTGGAGAAAGGCCAACAAATGGAGGAGGAGAAAGGACGGCTTCACAGGGTTTATAGGAGGTCAGCAATTGCCCAGAATTCATCCGATATTCTCCCTGATTTCCAAAGTAAAGGTATAGCTTCTGTCTACGGATCATTTCATTTACCGTCTCGTTTGTTCTTTTCCTCAAGGTTTATACGCCACAGGTAGTTCTCGAGTTACACCCATTCATTTCGTTGTTAGTTACAACAGCCCTGGGGGGGGAAAGCGACTTAGGACCCTTTTTCACACACGATTGTCGCAGCTTCCCCAGGGCACAGGATCAAAATTCAGATGATCGGTGACTGACTCATATTTATGACGGTTGCACTGTCCTGGGGTCTTGGCTGATCCCCTTTTGTGGCGGGAAGGCCAATAACATCCGTGATACTAACTTAACAACTGTGGCAAAAAAATAGTTGTAAAAGGGGGGCAAAATTCACTTAATTGTTTTGCTTAGCAAAGAAATTTTGGGCTTGTAAGTTGAGGACTACCTGTATTTTCGCTTTTCTTTGTTGGAAAAAGTTTGGCGTGATTCAGTTCAGTTGCTCAGTACTTTTAGAATCTTTTTGGCTGGGAATCGATGCTTCAGATCAATATCAGAGATCCAGTTTGGCCTGGATCAATAGAGGAAGCAGGGTCTAGAGCAGCGGTTCTCAACCTGTGGGTCGCGACCCCATTTGGGGTCGAACGACCATTTCACGGGGGTCGCCAAACAACGCGATCCGCCATTTTTTTTGTCAGCCGGCGCAGGGGGCGGTGCCACGCATGCGCACCGCGCAGGGGGCAGCGCATGGGGACGGCGGCGCACATGCGTGCCGCGCAGGGGGCGGCGCCACACAAGCGCGCCACCTGCTTATGACTGGGGTCGCCGTATAAAAAGGTTGAGAACCACTGGTCTAGAGCATAGAAGATAAGGTCGCATTGATCCACTAGGAACAGAGACATCAAAGTCTTGGTGTCGATTAGCAGATAGAGGAATGCTTGTTTACTTCACATTTTAACTTTTTTTTTAAACTTAATAAAGTTGGTTTAAAAAAACAGTCTCCAGGGCTGTTATTTAACCCCTGGTTTTGTAACAACAACAACTTGAATAGCATAAATGGGAATGGTGTGGGGGGAAGATCTCAAAAATAATATGGACTAGTAACTCTGATTCTTAATTCAAAAACCGAAGGAAGTTTCAAATCTGTAGGAAAGTATAGAAGAGTCTGGACATGGTTGTGTGAAATCATCCAGTTGCTTTTATTTAACTTTTTTTTTGGCTTCTAGGAACAAGCTGGCCCTCGGTGACCCTTGGGAGGACTTGGTTAGGCTCCCATTTCAGCCAGACAAAATTTCTTGATTTTTTTCCAGCCACACCAAAATCAGTTCAGAAATCAAAAGTTTACTCAAGAGCAGGGGTGTCAAACTCAATTTCTGAGGGCCACATCAGCATTGTGGTTGTCCTTGGGGGGGGCAGATAGGTGTGGCCAGGGTAGGCATGGCCTACTGGGTGGGCATGGCTGGAGTGGGTGTGGCCTACTGGGTGGGTGTGGCCAGCTCTACATCATTCGCGTCAAGGGGGCCTGTGGGGGCCTGGGCAGGAGTGGGACAGATCTGAGGGTCTCTGGCAGAAGGGGGGGGACCGGGGCAGAGCCCATCAAGCCGGATATGTGAAGTAGATGAGGGCCATTTGCTGGCCACTTCCAGGCGATGGTGCATTTCTTCATTCCTAACAAAGGGTGACCCCTCCCCAGCATGCACCCAGGGGGCAGGGCCAACACGGCAGGGTCTGGTTCCTCGCTGTTTCCGGACGGCCTTGTGGAGCTAAGACTGAATGCGTTTCAGCATAGATGGCCACCACAAAGTTGTACATTGGCTCCCGGCCGGCCTGGGCGGGGCCAAGGCAGCGGGGGCCGTTCCCTCACTGTTTCCAGGATGGCTTCGCAGGCCACATGAAACCACGTTGTGGGCCACATCCGGCCCCTGGGCCTTGTGTTTGACATGTCTGCTCAAGAGTCAGCCCTTGTTCTGCCATAGACCTGATGACTGTGGAGGGTCTGTGGAGAACTTCAGTAGGATTCCATAAAAGAGGCTCCAGCACCATATTCAATGTTTGCAGTTATCAGCATGCATAGCCATGTTCGAAATCGGCTCTGCCTGCATCCTGCGGGCAAAGACAGCTGGCAAATTTCAAAGGTGTAAAAAGATGCAGCGACTTTAAGGGTACGAAAGGGTATGTGGTCCCATGCAGTCTGAAACAACTTTTTGGAAAGGTTTGCCAACACGCCTATTAGGATACCCTTTAAAGTTGCTGGGTCATCCTGGAAAAAGACATAGCTACTTTCAAGGGTTGCAGACAGATAGGCTTGGTGAATCTCGGAAGCCTCATTGTTTGAAGCGACATCTTACGTTCCGCAGCTGAATTTAGGGAGACTTTGAAAGCAAGCGCATGAAAATCTGAAGTTTGTAGCAGAGCAGGAGAGGAGAAATGTAAAAGTTGTCTTCTGGAATTTTGTTTTGGGTCTCTGCGTGTTTGACTCTTAGGATTTCTTTCGCTGTAAGCTGACACTGTATGCCATGTGGTTCTTTTTCCTTGTTTGCTAATCTTAGGTTTACTGAATTGCCTTACTGTTACCTTTAGGGGGACATCATTCATTCATTCATTCATTCATTCATTCATTCATTCATTTCTATAGAAATTCTTCTCTGTCTGAGCAGGAGATTGGACTAGAAAGCTTCAAGGTCACTTCCAAATCTGTTATTTTATATCTTATTCCAACGAAGGAGAATATCTGTTGCTCAGGGTTGAAATGAGGGGTCCTTGGTACTCTCTGAGCTGGCTTGTTTTCTTGCAGATGTTTCATTACCCAACTAGGTACCATCATCAGTGCTAGAAGAGAATGGGGTGTGGGGGGAGGAGGGGGAGGAGGAGGAGGAGAGGAGGGGAACTGTAAGGTCCTTGGTGCTCTCTGAGCTGGCTTGTTTTCTTGCAGATGTTTCTTTACCCAACTAGGTAACATCATCAGTGCTAGAAGAGAATGGGGTGTGGGGGGGGAGGAGGAGGAGGAGGAGGAGGAGAGGAACTGTAAGGTCCTTGGTGCTCTCTGAGCTGGCTTGTTTTCTTACAGATTTTTCATTACCCAACTAGGTAACATCATCAGTGCTAGAAGAGAATGGGGTGCAGGAGGAGGAGGAGGAGGAGGAGGAGGAGGAGGAGCACTCCTTACTAGCACTGATAATATTACCTAGTTTGGGTAATGAAACCTGCAAGAAAACAAGCAAGATCAGAGAGCACCAAGGACCCCTGTTGATAAGCCCCCCCCCCCAAAAGAAGCCAACACAGTCTTAGGCCACATGAATAGAGGGATAGAATCAAGATCACGTGAAGTGTTAATACCACTTTATAACACCTTGGTAACACCACACTTGGAATATTGCGTTCAGTTTTGGTTGCCACGATATAAAAAAGATGTTGAGACTCTAGAAAAAGTGCAGAGAAACCAACAAAGATGATCAGGGGTCTGGAGGCTAAAACATACAAGAAGCGGTTGCTGGAATTGGGTATGTTTAGTTTAGTGAAGAGAAGAGAAGAGAAGGACAAAGGGTGAGATGATAGCAGTCTTCCAGTATCTCAGGGGCTGCCCCAAAGAAGAGGGAGTCAAGCTGTTCTCCAAAGCGCCTGAAGGCAGGACAAGAAGCAACGGATGGAAACTCATCAAGGAGAGAAGCAACCTAGAACTAAGGAGAAATTTACGGGCAGTGAGAACAACTAATCAGTGGAATAACCTGCCTCCAGAAATGGTGAATGCTCCAGCACTGGAGGTTTCTAAAAAGAGATTGGAGGGCCATTTATCCAGAATGTTATAGGGTCTCCTGCTTGAGTAGGGGGTTGGACTAGAAGACCTCCAAGGTCCCTTCCAACTCTGTTATTCTGTTAGGAGGTCAGGAACCACAATTCTCATACTCTTTTCTCCGGATTTTTTTTTTTTAAATCCAGGTATTCTTGAGAAATCAAGATACCAGAATATAAACTGACAGCAAACAGCACTTCTTACTAGCACACTCTCTGCCTCCTCCTCCTCCTCCTCCTCCTCCTCCTCCTCCTCCTCCTCCTCCTCCTCCTCCTGTTCTTCCTCTTCCTCCTCTCCCTTCTAGCACTGATGATGTTACCTAGTTGGGTTAATGAAACGTCTACAAGAAAATAAGCAAACTCAAACTTCATCTCAATCCTGTGCTACAAATATTCTTCTTCATTGGCATGTTCTGTATTCTATTCAGAGAGATGTAGAAGGACTGTTCCTTTGATAACCAAGGAGTTAGAAAGATCATTGAGAAGAACAGTTAAACCCACAATCAAAATTTCATTTTGTTTCCACCTCAAGCACAAAATCTAGAAGCAGTTTCAGTGTGGCAATAAAAGTATTCTTATTTTTTTTCTTTTTTTGTGTGTGTATGTTTTTTTAATCTTGGGTTTTACCAATTAGATAGACTTGATGTTATTGAAATGGCTAGCTTATATTATTTTGTAAAAGTAAAAAGTTGAGGTTTGAAGTTGATACTCTATTGCAGGGCTTTTCAACCTTTTCACCCATTGCACCACTTTTAGGACATGGCGACATCCGAGTACCACCAGTTGCCTAGCAAGGTGTCAAAAACTTGACCAAAAAAAAAAAAAAAAGGAAAAAAGTGATGAAGTACAGGTAGTCCTCGACTTACAACAGTTCTCTTAGTGACTGTTCGAAGTTACAATGGCACTGAAAAAGTGCCCACCAAGGCACAGCTGAGCAAGACACCTGCCTGCCCACCTGGCGGCGTTCTTCCTCCTGTCCGAGATTTTCACTGTTGTGAGCATTTCTCTTGAGGATTGGCAGTGGGGGTGTGGGGGGGGGTGTTTGGTTTTTATTCCCCCCCCCCCCCGTCTGCTGGGTGGTTGCAGCAGGTTTTGGTCCCTTCACATGACCCTGGGACACTGTGACTGTCATAAATACGAATCAGTTGCCAAGCATCTGAATGTAAATCACAAGACCCTGGAGATGCTGCAACTTTCCAGCTGATCGGCGCTTCTTCTGGGCTCAGCAGAAGCGCCAAGATCAGCGCCGAGCTCCAGCT